AGAACAATGCTGAACTCAAATAATGCAACTAAATTGTATTCTGGTTGGTCTTCCGTACTTGATAATTACTGTCCGACTATAAGCACAAAAATTACATTTTTTTAATTACCATGGCTAATCTGATTGGTCCAAATTATACAATTTTCAAAGCGCTAGACAATGACAATCTCACACGGACATTTTGAAAGGCTGATGTTGCTTTTAACTAATGTTAAAATATTTTTAAAAATTCAATTTAAAAATTTTTTAAAAATCTTTTTAAAATTAAAGAAATAAGAAATAATTGTATTAAAAATTCAATTTTCATTGAAAAATTTTTTTGCTTTCAGAAAATATTGTCCATATTCATAAAAACAAATTAAAACAAATAAAAGCATTTGAAACTAAATAATATATTTGTTTTATTGAGTTTTGTATGTTACAATTCACAGTTGATTTTCAGGTACGTTGGCCAATAAAACAAAAAATAAACACGATTTGCATTCTTCAAAGCCTTATGCTTTTAACTATTGCAATCACTAAAACCGATGGTCTCGAATTTCTAGAGTTTTTCATAAAATTAGTTATGGGGGTGTTAATAAATAAAAAAAAATATTTCTGCCATGACTTTAATAAAAAAAAAAACATATTTACAATAATTTCAATCATCTGTGAATAGTTTCTGAAAGTTTCATTAACATCTGACAACTATTTTTTTATTTTTGCAAGATTTTCCAAATTAATGTGTGTAAATACAAAAAATGCGCTAAAAATTATCTATGTTATTTACTACACCTTGTTGCGACAAAAGAGAAACAAGGTTTTTTAAATCAAAATTTAGAATATTCTAAAAAGATGGAAAATTTTTAAAAATAATCAAAAAAAAAAAATTTAGTCTATCCTCTTCATAAAAACATAAGCATTTTGACGATAAAATTTTGTTTTCATAAACTTTGGCGTCTTTTTCATCAGACTATGCTCTGTTTTAGCGATTCTGTGGAGTGACTTAGGTTAAAAAACCCAGGTTGTTTGTGTGTGTGTGTTCCTTTATATATGGGATCGGATTTCTTACATTTTTCAGCCGATAAAACAAACATCCACTTTTTTTTTTTTTTTTTTTTTTTTTGGCAGGTAGTATTTCTTATTGTCTTGCACACTTTTTTCTTTATTTATACATTCAGAATGCTTTAAAAATTCCATTTACAAGACAATTGTTTATAATAAAATTCTAATTCTATTCAATTGGGGGACTCATCATAACGATTGAAAACAATGTTTTTGTTTGAGTTTGGGTTTGACCAATTCGTAAAAAAAAACAAAAAAACTAAGACATGCGTGTCCGTCAACCTAAACAATAATCTAACGATCTCTACTGATTGTACGAATCGAAAAATCGGATAATTCTTTATCTTTAGGGAAAGATAATTCCACGTACTTTAGGGCTGTTTTTACAATTCCCTTTGCAATTCATTACAAGGCAGATCAATAAGGCATTGGTTCTATTTGAAATTAATTCAATATTTAAAAGAAAGTATTAAGAAATAATTTAAAAATGCCGACGTAAAAAATCTGATAGACAAAAAAACAACAATATTTCGAAGATGATAATTATTAAGGAAAGAACACAGTACTTGTAATAAATTAATAAACCCAAATAAAGTTAATATTTTTTTTATTAGAAACGAGTGGAAAATATATTCAAATCAGAATTCTAATTATGAATCACCACAAGCAAAATATGAAATTTTTTTTACTGTATTCAATAAGTAAAAATCATAAATTGTAAAAGATTACAGAGAAAGGCTACCTACATTTTTCAACCGATTTCAACAAAACTTCACTCTTTTTTGGCAGGTAGTGTTTCTTATTGTCTTGCACATTTTTTTCTTTATTTTTACATTCAGCATGCTTTAAAAATTCCATTTACAAGACAATTGTTTATAATAAAATTCTATTTACCAATCGATAGACACATAACGATTGTAAACAATGTTTTTGTTTGAATTTGGGTTTGACCAATTCGTAAAAAAAAACAAAAAAACTAAGACATGCGTGTCCGTCAACCTTAAACAATAATCTTTGTCAATTTTATTTTTTAGTCTTTATGATGGTCGATACTTGATCTCTCTTACTGTTACATCCCCGGTCAACGCCGGGCTCTACTGCTAGTCACTAATAATCTATGCATAGCCCTATACCGGAGTTCACACACATTGTATACATATATCCAATAATCATGTCCTTGCTATTAGTACTACAGTAGGTCTAATGTTACTTCTGCTTTTTTCATATTTGTATTAATGTTTAAATCAAAATTTGTAGCTAGTTGGGATAACTCTGATATTTTTAATGTGCAATTCTTCATCCAAATTTATAATAATCCTTTCAGTATCACTAAATTGGAAGAACTCCCTTAATAAATACCATGATACAGATTCAGTTCCAGACCAAATACACTATCACTTCTTAAAGCACTATCCTAAAACTTCCCTAAAAGTAGTCTTGGACATTCTTAACAATATATAGTATACAGCCAATCTCCCTAAGCCATAGTAATACCAATGCTACAACAAGGAAAGGATATCACAAATCTAACTACTGTCCAATATCTCTAACTAGAAGTCTATGCAAAACATTAGAAAGGATTAACAAAAGACTAAATTGTTATCTCAAAACTAACAAACTACTCACAAAATACCAAAGTGGTTTTACAAAGCAAAGAAGTAGAATAGATAATCTGTTTTGTAACCTACATAAGAGAAGTCTTCATAAAAATGAACATGTAGTTGGCATTTTCTTTGAAATGGAGAAGGTTTGACACAACTTTGAGACATGGCATCATAAGAGATGTTTTCAATTCTGGTCTCAAAGGTAGACTCCCAAATTTTATTAAAAATTATCTCTTGGGAAGAACATTTAAAGTTTTATCCTCTCTGTTGCTAAAATCTAGGAGGAAGGTATACTGTCAGCTACTTTAACATTAAAATAAACAGCATAATAATTTTTTAAAACCCAGAAGTGGATGGTTCCCTATATGTAGACAACTTCCTATTATGTCATTGACCTAAAAACATTTGAACACAATTGAACACAAATTACAAAATAAGTCAATTGATCACAGAAAGTGACTGTAAATTATCAGCAACCAAGACACAATGTATTCATTTTTGCAACAAAAGGAAACTGCACAATGACCCTCTTATAATTGGGCAAACAGAAATTATGAATGCTAAACAGTTTAAATACTTGGGGATCATTTTTGACAAATAGTTAAAATTGATACCTCCATATCAAATAACTGAAACAAAGATACAGTAAATCTCCAAATTTCCTATGAGTGATTGCAAACACAGATTGTGGTGTGGATAAATAAACCCTTCTAAAGAAATATAGAATATGCTCTAAACTGGATTACAGCTGCTTCATTTACCAGAGCAACATATATAAAAATACTGGATCCCAAAAAATTGACCCTCTCCCAGAGGGCTTTCAAAACATCTAAAGAAAGCCTGTGTGTAGAATCCTGTGAAGCTCCTTTAGAATTCAGAAGAGATAAGTTAGCTTTTCAATACTATACTAAAACTTAAATCATACCTCGACAACACAGCATACACATGCACTTTTAACAGTAATTATAAAACTTTATTCAATATGAAAAAGAAAGCGATAAAAACATTTGTCTTGTGAATAGAAGAGAATGTAGAAGTTTCCAAAGTACTTATTACAAATATCTGCAAATCCACCATACCTAAAATCCCACCTTGGACAAGGCAGTCCAAAGTGCTCCTCAATCTAGATAAGAGCTCAAAACAAAATACAAATCCAATCACTTTTCAAGAGGAACTACAAAACATTAGACAACAATATCCAGAATACATGCACATCTATACTGATGCTTCCAAAGACAGCGATAAAGTAGGATATGCAGTTATTTTTAATAATGCAACAATAAAAAAAATGTCTCCCAAATGAAGCTTCCATATTTAGTGCAGAAGAGCCAGAGTGATAGATGTGAACACCAAAGAAAAATCTATAAAATTTATCTTTTCTGATTCTATATCATTATATAAAAACTGGAAAACCATTTGATAGCCAAAATATTGAAAAAATATCTTTGCTGTTTCTACTTTCAAAAAAATTCTGTTCATCTGAATTCCTAGCCATGCAGGAATCAATGTCAGGAAGAATGGAGCAGAAAAATGCAAAATAAACTAAACAATTTCCTCGGAAAATTCCATTATGGAAAATTATTGAAATAAGAACCACTATAGTGTCCTACATGCCAAACCCAATATACGATAAAACATTTTCTAATGGAATGCATTGACCTTGACTCCAAAAGAGACAATTTCTTCAAGGCAAACAGCCTAAAAGAATTATTTGAAAGTATTAAAAGATAGAATTATAACATTCCTGAAATCAGTTGGATTATATCTGAATATATATATATATAAAACCAAAGATTGTCCATTTTCCCTCAATATAAACCAAAATAAGTTTTGGCATAAAATGACTCTTTAGAGTTGATATGCTATTAAAAATCCACTTAAACTTATTAAACTTATACAGTACTAGATTTGCAGCTAGGTCTCATCAAATTACAGTAGAAATGGCTGGATGGAACGATAGGTTCTATGCTAAGTTTCTTCTATTGCACTCTCTTCCAGATTCTTGTTTTCCCAATCAACTTTGATCTTCAAAAATTTAAATGCATTTTTTTCTTCTATTTTCTTAATTCTTGTTCTTTTATTGTTCTCTCTTCTTAATAGTGTTTTTTTTTTTTTTTTTTTCAAATTATCTAATGCTCAGTGAACCCTTGTCTTAGTGGCTTTATTGCCTTGCATGTTTTGAAATGGTTAAAAAAAATGTATGTTTTGTATAATTGCCTATTTCTGTTTTAAATCCCTTAAATGAGCAAACCTTCTCTATAATAAAACCTATCTTTAAGAAACCTATTATGCAATCTTTTCTATTTAATATTAAAAATAGATTTAGTGTATTGGTAAATAATTTCTTTTCAGGTTATGGTGATATGGCCATTTCTAATGCTGTGGGTAGTAATGTATTTGACATTTTACTTTGCATGGGTTTTCCATGGCTTCTGTCAACATTATTCTACCAAAGTGATGTTCCTGTTTATAGTGAAGGTGAGTGAAATAATAAAAAACATAAGCCGTTTTAAAGGTAAAAACTTATTAAAAATAATAATTATCCTGTTAAAAATAGCTTAAATATTTCCAACTATAAAGCTTCAATGCCCACAAGATCTTTGATAAAATTTTAAAATATTTTAAACAATTTTTTCTGTCTATCTATATTTCTGAGATGAGGTATTTTAACTGTTTACACTATTTACATTTTCCAGAGACTGTTGTCCTCATCTTTGTTGTCATATTCATGATGTTTCCAAGGCTCATTGGATAAAAACATTGGTTGAAGTAATCCAGTGACACTGGCCCACAGAGTTGTGAGTTCAATACCTGGCCACAGTAGAGATGGACAAAAATTTGGAGTGTTGAGTTACAATGGGAAATAACTAAAACTGAAATGTCCAGAAGAGGCATGGCACATGGAACTAGAAAAATCTACCCTGGTGGATGAAATAAAGTGTTCGGATTGAAATTCCAATCATCTGAAAAAGGCCAGTGTGTCCAATGACCAAAATGTTGTGAATATGACAACAAAGATGAGAACAGTCCGAACAATGTAAATAGTGTAAATAATCTTTTAATGCTTATAATTGCTTTCCTATGTTCACTGTACACTTGTTAGCTACAATGATAATATATTTTTGATAGTATATTTTTATAAAAGGCATTAAGATTTGACTTAGTCTTCAAAATGTATATCTAAAATTTTCATACAAATAAAATTTGTTTTGTCATAGAAATTGTACTGATGAATGCTTAAATAGTTGAATTTTTCATATCTTTTCATTTTTTGCACTCTGAAAAGTAGCTTTTTATTCCATGATAAAAAAAAATTTACATAATTACTTTTTCAGTTATAAATTTTGTTCAGTTTCCTTTTTATCCTTTGTATATAAAAATTTAATGGATTTGTTGTTTTATATTTTCACATGAAAAAGGGAAAAAAATTAGAATTTTACAAGAATAAATCCGTTCCTAAGATTAATTGGAACATGAAAATAATTTCTATTTCAGAATTAATAAAATGTAATATCCTAATTATTTAACATTGCTTCCAAATGTTGTATATAATTTTTTTCAGTCTTTTTTTTTTTTTTTTTTTTTTGAAAATTACATTTTGGTTCAATGAATTTGAAATTCTATTTTATTTTATTCTATATGAATTTATTATACATATTGGATTTATTATATGTAAGGTTGAAATAAATTTAACTGGTCCATTATATAATTATTTATAATTAGATTTTAATTTAAATAAAAAAAATAGGAAAAGCTTGGAAACCAATGAACATTAACTGTTTGTGTCATTTTCAGCAAAGTTTTGATTGAGATCTGTATTTTTACTATTTTACTACTATTAAGAATATATTATCTGTTAAATTAAAAACTTTGTCTCTATATATAAAGAGAATTGTTAAATTTATGATAAACTTCAAAGAGACTATTGTTTTTTTGACTCAAACACTGTAACAATATTCTGTAACAGAAAGTACAAAAAATAATTCAAAATGTGCTTAAATACATTAACAAAAGTAATTTTTAAGTTATTTGTCAGGAGAAACAGATTTACCATAAGCTGCTCAAAGTTACATTCAGATATATTCAGGCAATAAAAATATTTTGATATTAGTGTCTGTCTCTATTGGCAACCAACTGGAAACCATAACAATATCTCTTTTAACAATTGGCAATTCAGTTTAGATATTCGAGAAAAATGAAGTTGTGAAAAGCTATGTCTGGCATTATGTGATAGATATGAAAGGAAGCATGGATAGTGGCTCGTATTGAGGAATAGGAGAGCTGAGTTCAAATTTCATTTGCATTCATTACATTCACTTATGTGCCACTATTCTATGAATCCATCTTTCACCCCCCACTCCATGTAAATAGCAGGATTAGGCCTTATAGCCTTGGTTAGTAACCAGTCTAAGAGAAGGAAAACTATTCAAACCAGCCTGGAGAGGAATGGGCTCTGTCAGGATATCTTGCTTATAAAAACACCTCTGCTGTGGCTTCAGTAGATGTGGTACCCCTATGACCCTAAGGAGGTTATGGGATTCATTATTGTGATTATAGCCCTATTTTAGTTTGTTTTGTAGTTGTTCTGTAAGGCAGTTGTAAGTTGCTGTAACAAAAGATAATTCAATGAAAATATGGTTTTGTGGCAAATCAACTTTTTTTTTTTTTTTTTTTCAAAAAAAAAAGATTTGTGATTCTTTCTATTTATTTGGAAGGCACTAATCAATATGGCTTAATAGAAAAAGTAATTTTTAAAAGTTCCTTAATGATTTCAGATTATATCCTCTGTGATGGGTTGATGAACCTCATGAGTACTTTCTCTCTTCCTAAAAGGAAAACCTCAGTAAAAAGCCTTGACCCAACTAATATATGACATATAGTTGGAGAAATTTTCTTCATTATTCAAAAATGTAAAATCCTTAAATAGAAATGAATTCAATGTTAGTTGCAGCATTTTTTTGACAGTATTTTCACCGGGACACCTTAAATAAGAACAAATGAGCTATTTAGTGGCTTGATAATCTGTTTGATGAAACTGATAGCTTTTAAGAGGATTTCTCATCTGTTATATCTCATGAATGTTTATTTGCTGCTTCATAGTGATTGGAAGCTAAAATAATATATTTTTTATAATAACCTATTATCTTTTTAAGCTGATCAAATATTTTATACTGAAACTTGTTTATTGATAAAAATAAATTATATTTCAACATTTTACTGAATTTCATTTATTCAAACTTTTTGTCAAAATTTAAATTGGTAAATCTCCCATCACAAAGAAAACTAACTCAGCTGTGTATGTAAGTAGATGATTTCTATAACTTTAAAATATTTATAGTAAGCATAATAAAAAGATTTAACCCTGCTTTTCTTTGCAATAAAATGAAATTCAAGATAAAGCATTTAATGTGTTACTAAAGTCTTTGTTTGTGAATGCTGTAGTTTTAAAACTTGAAACAAACTTTTTTATTACTATATTTTATTTTTGCAGGTTTGACATACAGCGTAGTTACACTCTTGTCCACTGTTCTTTTCTTGATTCTGGCCACTCACTTTAATGGCTGGAAGCTGTCCATCCGCTACGGTATATGCCTTATGATTGTTTATGTTTTCTTTACTGTCCTCTCTGTCTCCTATGAGTTAAACTTTTTTGGCTACATGCACCCACCAACATGCAATGTTGAGTACTGATACATTGCTTCATTTTATTTCCTTTACTGGTGCTCCTGATATTAGGGCAGTTTTTCAAAAATCTGCCTCAAATCCTGAAGAATTGGCAGAAAAATACCTCTGACAGTCAATTTGCTTGGTGTGAGAAGCAAGGTTTGTATGAGGATGCTATAAACATTTCCCAAATATGGTCAGCTTTGCGTGAAGAAATAAAGATGAGAAGTAGAAACATATGAAAATTCTTGTGAACAAAGATTGTTCCCACCTTGCTCTTTAGACCTCTCAATTGTGACTTTGAGGTAATATGAAATCATTTTTTTTTCCATCAAAGTTCTTTTTCTTAATGTAACTAAGGTTTTGAATGAATTTTTTTGTTTTTGAGAACATTGAGAAAATGTTTGCTTCTAAATCCTTGTTTTTTTCAAAACATTGACCCAAGGAAATTAGGAGCTAATAATTTGCACATTTCCATAATTTTACTTTTAAAAAAAGCATTCCTTTTGATTAGTTTTTCATTGTGGGCAGTTTTTTTTCTCACATTTTGTGAGCTACTATATTTTTGGTACCCAACTAATTTGCCATCAGATGGATCCATGATTTTAGATCAAAGCTACTGTGAAAAATTTCCTGTCAATTTTTCTCTAAAGAAAGAAAAACATATTTAAAATTTTTCTCAAACTTAATTTTTTAAAATTGATATTTTTATTAATTTAAAGTTCTTTTAACTAAAAGCAATGTTTAATGAAAAAAATCATTTTAAACAAATGCTTACTGTTACTTTCAGAAATAAATTTGTGGGGGAAAAACAAACAATATTTGGAATCTCATAATGCTGGAAGATCTTATGGCAAAAATGTAAAACCCATACAAATGCCATCATCAGTTTGGTCTGTTGGCTATTTTTATTATTAATAACCATTCACATGTTTACAAGTCTGTGCGCCACAATATTTATATGCAAAATATTACTTTTTTTTTTTTTTTTTTTTTTAATACTATGAATTCAACAAAATTGTAAAAAGTCACTGAATTATTGTCTTATATTCATTTGAAGCTTTTTTAATATCTGGAAATGGTCAATTTTTCTTTCCCTCCATTCTTGTTGCATAGACATTTTGGTCAGAAGTAGACAATAACAAGAAATTTCTTTCTGTCTCTCTCTCAGCAATGAATTGGGCTTAAATTCTATTACACTTCAACAACCATTCAACTTGTCTAACTTTAAATGAAATGGGATATCATGGGTATATGAGTTTTTTCATTACCAATGCTTTCATTTTATTTATTTACTTTTTTTTGTGCAACTGATCTTTTGAATCATTTAACATGAAATTGTTTAGAATAAATCCAACTAATCACATATGGATCCCAACTAATGTATTTTGTGCTGTCAGGTCAATTGTGTATCTGTTCTTGCTATGTAATTTTGAATCTTGACCTCATTTTCAAATTAAACATAAATTTAAATTCCCCCTAAAATATTTTTTCAATTAATGAACTAATAAGCTACCTTACAGAAATTGTTATAACAAATAAAACTCTAACAAAATGTGTCACTTTTAGCTGCCTTTATTGTACATTAATAAAATTGGTATAAAATGTTTTTACATATAATCAAATTCTTCAAGGTTCTGTAAAGGTACGTTTTGGTGTACAGACAGTCAGGTTTTGTTTTTTGTTATTTTTAATAAAGTTTTCAATATTCTGTTTTGACCTCAAATAGATTTTTTTTTTTTAGCTACCAGGAGAGTTAACAGATAAAATATATTAACAGGGAATCACATATCAAGTAGTACTTATGGAAGTTAAGCACAATATCATAAATTATGATTTTTTTTTTTTTTTTTAAGTTTCTACTGTGAGATAGAAAAATATAGATTGTGCAACTATAAAAATTGTAAATGCACCTTGTTTGTTACTTCTGTCACTACTGAATTAGAACTTAAAAAGTTTTGTGTAAATTTACTTCTAACCCTAAGTTCTCATAAATCTTTCAAAATTGTTTTGACAAAATTAAATTTGCAACATTGATAATTACTTCAGTAATTCATTTAAATACAAAATAAAAGAATTCCAATTTAAAGATTTCATTTTCAAGAAACATTTTCCTTGAAATTTATAGAATATAAATTGGTACAGTTAATAAGTCTAATGTGTTTAAATGTAAAATTGTACTTGAAAATAAATGACCAAAGGCAAGAGACTAATACTAATTGTTTCATGACATTTAATCTACAATGCTATTTCTGGACATTGATTTGAATTCAAGAAAATTAAAAATTTCTTACAGGAATAATTTCATTGAATTGAAAGCATTTATGGGATTGAATTTTAGGAATGGTGGGAAAATCAATATCTAAGATCATTAAAGATGATCTATCAGTAATTGTAAGCTTCAGTGAATTTAGTAGCCTAAAGTATTAAAAATAAAATTAACTATAAACATTGGGATATTCTTGTTAAATATTTAATTGTGACTCGTCCTTCATTTTTGTTTACTAATGATAAATAACACTACATGAAAAGGAACAGAAATTATTAATTTAGAGAAAAATAGTTAATGTTACACCTATATGCTTTTTATTATGTATAGATTTGATACAAGGCTGTGTGTGAATGTATAACATTGCTGTGATATTCCTATTTATTGAAATTGTTTGAAAAAAAAAAAAAATAAAAACTTTTTATTAATGGAGAACATTTTTGATTATTTCAAAAGTTCATTGAACTGTCTTTTTTTTTTTTTTCTCCCTCACCAACTTTTAAAAAAAATATGTACTTATGCCATATCTGTGAGCATTTGCTGCATTGAACTTCAAGGCAAATGAGAAATTAACTGATTCATGATAAGTTTGGAGTTTTTTTTGTTTTTACCATGTAAGAATTCTTCTTACACAAATGGTGTATGATTTTAAAAACACAATCTTAAATTGATATATAAGTTGTTTAATAAGTTTTCTGATGATTAGCATGGAAAAGAAACACACACAAAATGATACTGACACATTTTTAAACAGGTTATTAATATTCATAAGTTTATTTAGATGAATATTCTAAGATTTTTTTTATATCTAATATGTCTTGTGGAAAAAAAATTATATTTTTGCTTTGTATAGCAATTAACATAACTGGCACCTGCTATATTACATATATTTAGTATTCATATTATTACTCGTTAATTTTAATCATATTATTCAATAATCAGTTATCAAGATGATTTGCATTCTGTTCCTAATATTGTCAACTAAGGAATTGCTACTATTTCTTGCATATTAAGCATGCTGTATAGAAGATAAAAACTACCAATTGAGGTAGTCAGTGTCTCTCTGATAGAAAAATATACCAAAAGATATCAATCACACAAATATTTGAACTGAGTTATGCAGATATTCATGACTTTGAAATTCTGTAGAAATTTTGAAAGATATTATCTCCAAATCATAATAATGAATAGTGAATGAATGGCAAAACTCCTGTTATGCATCTTGTATCCTAGAATCCTGAAGATAAATCTATTCTAGAAACAATCTAAGATAGTGTATTTTTTCTATTTTGTCATTAATTACTCGCTGTCATAATTTTATATACAAATACTATAACAGAAAACAAATGATGAAATGTTGAGAATAATAAATAAATACATCAATAAATGTTCAAACACATTTTTCAACCCTCATAGTGTTTTCTAAAGAGATGTCTGTTTTCTTTGAGTTTTCATTATCTATAAGAATGTAGATATCTTCCTGTCTTGAGTAAATTTAAACTTGGCACACATATTCCCTGGATAAATAAATTTATTTTCTCTTTTGCATGCCAAGTCCTTTCAGGGCATAAGTGATCATAGCTCTCCACAATTTCTTAACTTTAAATAATTTCATCCCATTAACATTTTGAAACAGTAGAACCCAAATCATTGAGTGCAGTTGGTTGTTTAACATTTTTGGTTAATTTAAAGCAATGTATTTCTATAGATTAATTTTTAATTGAATATTTGAATATAATTAACTCTATAAAAGGGTTTTGAATTGTATAAATTCAACTTTTAAAAAGTTAGATTAAATCTATTGTTAATCTTGATGTGTAATTAAAACAAACACAAACCTTTTTTTCTGATTTTATAAATGAAAATAATTTTTTAAATTCTGAAACTAGTTGCAAATAACCTCTGAAAATGTTTTTCTTTGTTTAACAATTTAACAAAAGAAATGAATGCATTAAAAAAAATCTATTTATTTGTATCATTAGTTCACTTCATTCAGATATTTTCTTATATTAATTGTCAGTTTCTTATTTGTCTCCGATTTTTGTGGGGTGCTATCAAGTGTAGTTATCAAATTGTATTTGTTTATTTTTACTTACTATTCCAAATCTGTTTGTTTTCATTTCTACATCAAAACTATCAATTTAGAATAATTATTGGATGATGAAATGTTTCAGGCAGTACACTCATCGTTAAAATGACAGATTTAATATTGATTAGTCCTCAAGTGAAATCATAAATATTCTTTTATTTATTACCACATACATTTGTACATTTTTAGTATTTCAAAAACTAAATTAAACTTTTAGTTCTTAAATACTTTGATCTTTTTGTTCTTATTACTCAGGTTAATATCATCATTTTTTTTTCTTTCTTAATATACAGTTGCCATATAAATCACCAAATCTTTGTTCACTTTGTGCTTTACATTTTCTTCTCTACTTTCTTTAAACTGGGATCACCTTGAGGAGCTGTAAGCCCATTTGTAATTGGTGAGGGATTTTATTTTCTCAAACAATTATGCAACTTATAAATGCATGGAAAGACAAACTTTGCTAAGACTTATTGTACAAACTTATGCACCCAGTTGTCTCCAGAAATTATCACCATGTTAAATTGTCAAGTGAAAAAAAAAATGTTAAGATTCTAACTCA